GCTGCACATAACCCCGCGCGCTGACCTGGAGCTGCCCCACGAGGTGTGGGACGCGCAGGCGGGCGGCGTGGCGCTGCACGTCCCGCGCGACCTGGGTCAGGGGGTGCTGGCGCGGTACCTGCAGCCGTACGACCACTACCCCGTGTGGCACTTCAGGTGATGTCAGCTGGGGGGGGGGGCGGGGTGGAGGGGTGAGGAAAACTGCAAGACGGCACAGGCATGGGGGGTTGAGAAGCTACTCTGATGAGACTTTGGGCACTGAAGAGGTGATCAGGGATTGGCGTCATGAGTTTGATAAGGGAGAACTCAGTGAAACGCAAAGCGGTTGGCAACCGCAACATGCTGCTCACTCCCCGCTGCCAGGCCTCCTGACGTTGCGCTTGCTTCCTGGTCCTCCGCCTTGTTGCCTTCCCCCTCGCAACGACGCGCCAGGTCCCCCATCCACGTGCTCAAGGGCTTTGATGACCCGCGCATGGCGTCCAATTTTCGAAGACGGGTGGAGCACCTGCGACCGCTGCTGTGACGAACCACGCTTGCACTGCCCTTTCCTTAAGCCTTTCCCTCACCTTACACATTGTACTGCTGGCGGGCCACCAAAGACGTGGCGCAAGGATAGACACATTTCGCCCCTGGCGTTGACCGGTCATTCCTGGCTCAGCGACAGCCGCTAGACATAGCGATAGCTGGATACCGCAAAGATGCCGTACGAAATCTCTCTGTCATATTGAAATGTGCGTTTGTGAGTGTTGGGGATTTTGGGTCGCCCCGGCATCCACGGCGACATGCTGCAGAAGCCCGCGTCAAAGGCCTGCGGCTCTCACAAAGAGCTGGCGGCTTGACAGGCATGCGACCTGCAGCGCGGCAGCGTCGCAGCCCGCCCTGGGTGCGGCCTGCCGTGGCTGCCCAGTTTGTAATGACAATCTCATGTCCAAATTGGGGCCTGCCAAGGTCCAAGTAGCACTCAGTGTGCATGTAAGGTGCGTGTTCCTGGTTCACTCATTGCACTACAACAGGGTTGAAGGCGCTCTTGAGGCACATGCAAAACACCTGCCCTTGCAATGACGCAGCGAAGCATGCCTGTATCTGACTGCAAACACATCAGCACAATGTTTATCTGCGCCTGATGTGTCCCTCCACCCCGCAATGGCCCCACGTCAGACAGGCGCTGCTCTGACTTGTGTGGCAAATTGACAATAATTGCTTGCCACGCCTTGCTGCCCGCCTGGCCCATGCAGCAACAGGCGTGTGGCGTTTGACCATGATGTCAACACTCCGTGTGTGACGATGCGTCATCAGCGCGGCTACTTCATAATTTTTCCTGCGATTTCCGACGGTGGGTGGCCCCGATCGAGACGTTGAGACCCCTGAGGACCCCGACCGCAGGAGTCACTAGCTACGGTCGACGCTCATAGCTGCTTGCCACCGCAGTACCGTAGCGGTCGCACAACCTGATGCACGCGGCGTGCTGCTACTCGCGACCGGTCACTCTTGCTTAGGCAACAGATCACGAGATAGAAGATCACTGCCCAGTCTTGAGCCTGCCAAGCAGCGTCTGGGAACCAGCAGCAGCCATGGTAGACGGCGAGGAATGCGCAAAGCGCGTGGCCATGGGGTTCGGGGTGGGTGCCGCCCTCGGCAGCAGCATAGGTGAGCGCGCCTGGTGCACACATGCGATGCAGGGGACCTGGAGATGCATCATAAACACCGCGCACCCCGGCGGCTGTGCGTGACAACAATTTCATGCATGCGGTGCTGGCCATGCGCGTGCAGGTGCGGTCTACGGGACGTACGGAGCCTTCAAGTACAGGGTGAGTGCGCATGTCACGGCGCAGCGCCAAGGGCGACAGTCCCAGCTGGCATGGCCGTCGATGCTGTGTTTGCACGAGCGGCACACATACAAGTTCATCCTAGAGTTGCAAGCTGATATGGCAGCAGGCGCCAGTCGATTGTTTGCATCACTTTGTCTTGAAGTCGAGAGTCGTGCTCGATTGGCAAGCTATTTCTCAGAAACAGGAGCAAAACATGGGCCTGCTTTGAAGCTGGTTTGTTTGTGGTGCAGCTGCAGCTGGCCGGTGACATGCAGAAAGCATAGCAACTTCAGGCATCAAATCCTTTGCTGCCTGCACCTGCTGCGATTCCACAGGTCCCGGGGCTGTTCAAGATCCGCTACATCGGGCAGAACACTGTCAACACCGGGCTGGTGAGGGGATGGCCCGCAGCTGACCTGGCGGGGCAGGCCCGAGCGCACATGCCCGATCTCGCTGGGCCCTGGGGCCCTCGTGGGACGCAGCGGGGGGGGGGGGAGCAGTGGCGCGCATGTTCCACATGCACACGGCGTTCAGGCCTTAACATGGCAGGTGCCCCCATGGTGGAGCAGCTGCCAAAGCTGCTGCGCTTGAGGTGCCGGCCGTCGGCACGCATGGGCTCCGATGGCTTGTTGACACCGCAGCAAGGTTCAGCACTCTGTCAGGGTGTGATTGGGCATGTCCAACCCCGCCTCTCCCACATCTCCCCCCCCCCTGCCCCC